CAGTGGCAGTATCGGACGTTAAATTCCTTCAATTAGATTAGGCTTCAGAATCCTGAGCACTAGTTCACTTAACAGAAGATTATTAAGTTTCTTCCAGTGGTATCCATCCGCAAACTGATTCAAATGCAAGCCTTACATCTTCATATTGTCTTCCACAAACTTGATCGGTCGGTTGGTCAATTTTAAACTGCGTTAGTGCTGATCCGTTCTTGCTGATTCTTTCTTCACCCGTGCTATCTTCACACTTTTTGTATTTAAATTTTCTTGAGTAGTCTTATGTGACAATTGCCCGGTTTTGTTCGAAGGGTCATACTCAGCAGATCATGCTTTGCGGCGCGATCCGCGGTGGTCCCCGAAGGGACCTTAGAAGTGAATCGAGGTATCACTTAAAGATCGATCAAACGATCTTCCTCTTTAAATTTCTAGTCTTCAAAACCTCTCTCATTAATCCATTAGCTGAAGTTTCTATAAATCTTGCGTTGGAGGTATTCACTCTGCACCTGACACTTCCATCTCAGATTCTGTCTTTTTTCCACCTCTGCACTTCAAAAATCACAGTGAAATCCCGAGTCACTTGAGGATCCGGGCTCGCGCACCTTACTGGCGAGGTTATGATTGCGCAATTTATGAGGCGATGCTAACTCTCTACCGGTGCCCAGACGACCAAATATCGGAGGTTGTACTTCGTTTCCTTGCCTTGTATTCACCTTTTTACCCGTCAGTAGGGCTAGCTGCACTTTTCTCGGTAGACTCGTGTCGAGGGAAAACTTGAACTTGTTGGGGATATGGTTTGTAATTGTGAGGAAACCTTCACATGATCACGTGCATATTGGTAGCTTACTTGATGTAAGCCACTCAGATCTCAACGAGATTGCCTTTTCCACTATGTGGGTGTTGAAACGCGTGCCGTCTGAACACATAAGCCATCTTGAGATCTTGCACCTTGTCTTTTACATTCTTGCAGCGTCCGGTTGCAGTTGTGGTGAGGTGAGAATTCTTGATCCCTAGCCAATAATCTGGAGATATCACTTAAATTTAAGATGCGTGACTTTCTTGCCATCGGGAGGCCAATATTCCAGCCTGGAAGAGAAGTCGACACATGTACTTAGAAGCAAATAGAATTATGTTGAATGCTAGCCAACCACAAGCTAAAACTATCACTGTGCCTGTCTGTATACCAGGACATGCTACCATGTGTCTTCTGCATTCCGCTGATTGTTCCTTCGCATATATGGACGACTCCTGATCGATCGTCGATCACCTTGATCGCTCTTCGATGACCCTCGATCTCCGATCATCGTCTCAATCTTGATCGCCCTATACATTCTTGAGCCTGGTATCTTAATAATCTATCTTGTGATCTTGATATTCAATCTCGATTTTATTCGGATAACAGCCAGTAAATGCTTCTCGACGACGAGTCGTCGTTTTGATCCATCAACTCATTGACCGCTTCATATTTCCTTTAAACTCTTCACCCCACCGATTAGTTACAGTTTGTGGGGATTCAATTGTTTGATACAGTTTGGCAGGGTGCGTACGTATTAAAGGGTTAGTGTTACAATGCATTTCCTTTTTTTAATGATGCAATTTTTTTACTGCCTTATTGTTACTAAATCTTTGAGCTACTTAAAATAGCAGATAATGGAAACTACGATATCGCACATATTATTTACTACATTGTGGGCCTTAACAGTATTATTTGGCGTGCGGTACAGTCACTGATCAATTTGTTGGACGTAAATCGGTGACCATCCAGTGGAAACGCCACTAAATGGCAGAAAATAACGACTGGCTATCTGGCGATCCAATGGGAGATGGAAGGCGATCTCAACGGGGATCAACGACCCAACCCAATTTCCACTACGATGACAGAGACGGGGCTATATCTGATACCAGGCGACAACCCAGAATAACCTCTTTAGACCGATTTGGGGCAAGACGACAAACAGAAGGATTTTAATGGAACGATCCGAGAAGAGGCGCAGAAAAAACGCTTTTCGTGATGTAATCTGGGACAAGGAAGTGGCACGAAGTCATACAATTCACCTGAATGTTGGTCGAGGACAACGATACGCATATTGGACCTGGTGAAGACTGGATCGCAAATCTATGCGCGAAAGTTTTGTGAACGACGAACATTGGAAAAAAGACTTAACTGGGGATATGTAATCGAAGGTATCAATTGGATAACACTGGAGGATGATATTGAAGCACGTGCGAAGAGATGAAAAAGTGTTAATCGCTGATCTAGACCAGATCGACCTCCAACATCTCGATGCTAAACGACGGACCGGTCATTTTCCAGACTGACCATGGATATAAGGATGATGAAGGTACAGAACTATGTAGAGAATACATTTAAAGGAGGTCCTTTATGTCTAGAATTTTCAGACTGACAGAGCCAGTGGAAGACATCCGAATTGATGTCACAAAGTGGATTTGGACACAATCGGCAATTTAAGTCCTATATTGGGTACTTTGGCGCCAAGGATGGGTATTTAATACCGTGTTTGAGATTTAATGACATTTGTCGTTCCGGTACCTTATCGGGAATACTGGCGCTATCATTGGAGTACAGGGCACGAATTTACGTCAAGTGGCAAGGGGGTGATATAGGTTCAAGATGATATCATTTTGGAGATATTCATTGTTAAGTATAGGTTTAAGGGTTGTTTAGATAGTAAAGTAGTTATTTAATGAACAATTAAACTCCACTTCTTCCACACACTCCACGCGTCCTGCCTTTTCCGGGTTACGATACCTAGGCTTACAGACGGCTCAAGGTACGCATGCTTAAGGTTATTGAAGACCGACCTTGGATTTTCGGCCAAGATCGACAAGAGCGATCTCGGGGATTTAAATCCAGATTGATCAAGATTTCACACACTCAACTCACTGCTAGGGCAGCAGCAACACGGTAAAGGCTTTTGTTTACAAGATCACTAGATGGCTCAAGTGGTTAGAAGATTTGATCAAGGCGTTTAAGACAAGACCGAGCAAGACCGACGCGATCCACACGGCAGATTGGCACGTTTCATTTAGGCTAAACTCAAGACTTATTTTCCCACACTGCGCACTTCCGACCAGATCGGCCGATCTCGAATCCATATCAGAATGAACTTAAGGCAAGATCGACGCAGACTTATAATATTCTCTGAGTGAAGATTCCTAAGCAGTGAAGACCCCGATCCCAAATTCAAGATTGAGATTGGTGCGATCCGAAATCGAGATTGCTACCTCTCTGAATAAGAGACCTCAGCGACCTAAGATCAAGATTGCAGAACCAGTTCGTGGTGTGAAGATTTCCTCACCGGAAGCGAACTCTCAACTTCAACCCTTAGCGAGATCTACGTCTTCAAAGCCATAACTAAGAGCTCAAGCCATCCCAACCGACGGGTATACAAGGTGATCACAAGAAAATAGTACAAGGCACGGATCAGATTACCCCCTCCGTGAGTCGGCAAGTCTGGGCAAGTGTAAGATCGCGTTTTAAAAAAGCAATTTTATGAGATGCACTTCACCACAGGCGTATCTTAATCCAACAGAACTGCGATCAAGACCCGGTTTTTAAAAGTAATGGGCTCGTCTGTTTTGAAACGGAGAAAGTGCATCACGTCACGTGACTTCTCCGCTCAAAAACTCGAGGTTAATTTCGAGAACAAAGTGTAAGCTTACATTATGCAGTATATCTGTAACGGAGTCAATCGAAACGTCTATTGTCCAGTCATAAAAAATGCAAAAGATTCTTAGTGCGGTTCGCCTATAGACCCTTCATATGGATGGGGCATAGGAATTCTGTACCTACCAGAAAAGGGATGTGTCGATCACACGGATGACGTTACCATAGGATGTCATTACACAATTTCATTGCAGTACGTCATCAGCGCGATAGCATTAAGTTTAAGCGCAATAAAGAGACGGCGTCTCATCACAGTGCACGTCTATTCTTTGTATTTTAGCAAATAAAAATTTAGATTTACTTTCAAATATTTAGGAGGATTGATTGGTACACACGCAGGCGAGCTGTTAGCAATAATCTTTTGCCGCAAATCATAACGCAATCGCATAAAAGATTTAATTAACAAACTAAATTTGCGATCTTCGATAATGCTTTGATACTTACATAGGTAGTCATCTGTATTAATTTATCATCAACCGCACATTGAAACGTAAATGCATTACATCTTTCTTACTAAATTAAACATCACTGCTTAATTTGTTCAGAAGGAGAGTGTGACCAGGATGTTGCGCTATATGGACGATAATGAAGAAGTTTACTTTTCTTTCAATTTGCCATGTTCGTCCGAACGACCTCGTCAGAACAAAGGGGTTTTTCCTTGCGCTTTTGTTACAAACAAAAGCTTCGATTGATATTTATGATTTTTCTGGGCTGCTTCAACGCTTGGCTTCAATTATCGCCTCTGCTGTAAAGCAAAATATCATGGTTTGCCATCACTTTACAACGAAACAGACGACTTCCTCCACTCGCCGTCTACATCTCCTCCATCAAAGCATTTACCACCACCAGCACATTACCGTTGCACTTCTCCAGACGGTCCACAACCTCGCTCGTTTCCACACCCGAAGATGCATTGCGTACCCCAAAAAAATTCCTCTGACCGCTTTATCATTTTCTCCGACGGAGAAGCAACCATTGTCTATACGACGACCGGAGCAGCAATGACAAATGTCCAGCCATCACAGGCTCGACAACTATAGGCGCATCCTTCACTGGAGTCGACGTACGAGTTTTTTCCGTCAACTACTCCCTTTAAAAGTCGCTTGCAGACGCCACCGGTGCTTCAGTCGCTTCCTGACAGCCAGTGACCGTCGGTTGCCGTGGCGTTTCTGGAATAGGCGTCACTTTCGCTTGGACCGATGCCACATTATTAATATCGAAATCACCTCCTTGACATATTCACCAATGCCATCAGCCGCACTGTTCATGCCTTCCGTCATCTCCTTCACGAATTGGTCAAACGGCAGATCCTAAATTCTCATGCGCGATGCCTGCATCGCTTCTCGGGCGTCCTGGAACACCGTTTTAGCGCCTCGGTCGTCTGGTCTAGCCCCATATGCGCCTTCAGCTGCAACTTTTCGGCCCACTGTTTGCTCTTGACCTTGCTCATGGCTACACTCATTATCTACACTAGCGGTTATTTGAACTTATGGATCGGCGCCTGCAAATTTTCTTAGAGCGCGACGGCCGAGCTGCTCTCGGTTTCAAGGCGCACCAACGAGGCGCTGCTCGCAGCTGGCGCCAGCACGCGACACGCCCCCTCGCACTCGGACGGCGACGTAACTTTTAAGCAGTCGCCCTCCACGTCCATGTACTGCACCACAAAAAAAGCTGCTGGGCGCAATTTAACGGGTTACAGGTCACTAGTACTGCTTCATTGCTAGTGCACCTACGCTGTCAACAGTGTAGGTAGTGCCATGCGTCACTTCACTTCACGTACAACGTACGTGCCGCGATCCAGTTTCCCCAAAAGTTTTGGTCTAGATGGGTTGCGACAAATTATGTAGAAGAGTCGCCATTTGATGATTGAAAAAGACAATGTCTTACCACCTGCCGCGCGTGGGGCAGTCTTGATATTGATGTGGGTAAGGCCAAGCCGGTTGCGCAGAGAGTTAGTCCTATGGCCCCTATATTTTTAGAGGAGCTCACAGACCTAATTTAGCTAATATTTCGGTCAAGATCATCCAACCATCTACATTACGATGGGCGTCTCCTGTAGTGGTCATCATTAAGCAACACGGAGAAGATGTAAGGCTGTGTATCGATTACAGGAGGGTGAAACAGCTAACATGGTGTGTGGTCTATCCGATGCACTTGATTACTCAGCTATCGCAGAACATGGATAAAGGCATGAAGTACCGTTCCCCTGGACAAGTTGAGTGCTTGTTGGGTGGTGATAATGACTGAAAGGGCTAGAGAGATTTTTGCTTATACGCACGATCATATTTGTTCGAGTAAATATATGTGCCTTTCGGGTTAAAAATGCTTAACACATTTTAACGGTTGATTGACAATAATCTGCACAGGTAACTTAAAAATTGGCGCAGAATCCGAATCGATAACGGAAGGATAACTCAAGATGATTGATGTTTTCACCGATGGTGAGCTAGATACTGACCCAATACCATCGGTGTTGGACAGACGATCTTATATTGACGACATATTGATACCAGCTACGTTGTAAAAAATCTTATGAGAGAAAGTGTAAAGATAATCAAAGGCGTGCAATACGTGAAATTTGATGACCAGTTTGGGGTTTTTGGTGAGCATCATATTCCATCAGACGATGCTATCGATGCAGTCATTTTAAAAAGTCTTAACAGTGACAGGCAAATATTTTTTTTTGCAATTTACAGATCATTGTTTTTCGAACTGCGGGAATATAATTTCCATGATATTAGCCGCGTAAATGAAGCTTCAAAGCCAATTTCTGCGGTATGACTAGATGACAATCGTAAATGGTTGTAGGAAACATACACGATATACCTTCGAAACTGGAGATCGATGTCTACTGGTAATCATTTGCAGGGGACGATCGCGATATGTAATCAAAACCAGAAATTGATGTCAATGTTCCATTACAGGTAACGATCGCAACTAGAGGGCACGAATCATGGGGACAAAGCTGATCTCTTTTACATTGCAAAAGACTAAGGATAGCCGCAATACCAAACTTAAAGCGTTTCGACCTCAATCGACCGCCGGTGATCGCCGTGTATGATATTAAATGGGCTGTATCAGCGGCAGTGCTTGCTTAACATAATGGTGTGTTTTGGCGGTCAACTTCTCGAGTCGTAGCTAAAGACTAACGAGGTCAATTTCGGGGTGTTGCAGAATGAGGTGTTAGCGCTCATCAGGATGTTAGAAATCTGTTACACTGTGCTAGCAATCTTACATGATGAAATTGCAAACACAATCTTCGACACTGGTATGGCTGATATAATCTTCAGGTCTTAACGAAAGATTGGTGAGATGGGCTGCTTTAATTTCGATTTGGGGTTTAAAATTTCGGGAATTATTGACGGTAGAAGATGAAATACTCGGCACACTTTCTGCGAGTATAACACCCAGTAAAAAAGTTTAAAGTAATGATTGCGATTGCCTTGTGGAAGCAACCAAGACATACGATAATTATGCCACCACTCACAGAAGAAGTAATAGAATAGTTGCTAGTGGTCAATTTCGATGGATCGGCTAGAGTGAAAAATAATTGAGGATCATACAGCGCAATTATATACAATTTGCCGGAGTGGACGAATGTCACGGCTGCTTCTGAGTTCACCTCTTAAATAATTCTTAATGAAGCAGAATACTGAAAGTTGTTCCTTGGATTAATTTTAATTGCCGGACAAGACAGGGAGGTTTGATTACATAAAGAGATTTGAATTCAGTGATCCGCCAAATGCGAGCAGAAATCGACTGTAAGGCATCAGTGTGCTTTTTCTGGACACGTAGATCGATGGGGAAACTCCGGTCGTGGTCAGTTTATGAACTCCTGAATTTGAATCGTAAATGTTATCGGAGTTCAGATCGGCTGGCGTGTGACGCTACGGTAACAGGAAGGCATAATCGTGATTTGGGGTCAAGATCATTAGGATCTGATCACTTTTAATCGATTTAGCGAATTACGATAACCAAAACGAGTCGATCAGGCAGTATAAGTTGCGGCTATCACTTAATTTGCCCTAAAAACGATGCCAGGTCAGCGTTTCTCATAAATAAGTTTTGCAGCATATGCAGATCGATGGCATTAAGCAAGCAAAATACTACGAAAATTGGATGAACAATCTAGGGATATATGTGGTTGGAGATGTGCCTAGACTTTCGGCGACCAAAGCTTAGCTTTGCGCTCCGATCGCACCAAATGATGAAGTAGACCAAAGTCAGATCCTAATTTCTATTTGAGATTATTTGCTTGATCAAAGATGGCCCTTACTGTCTTGTCCAGCTACTTCAGGAAATATCAGCAAAATTTCTTGCACCAATGCGACACAATTATTAAAATTTGTCATCAGGTATTCAACCGTACTTGTGTACGGGTCAGGGAGAACTTCCACTGGCGTGGTTTTTAACGAAGTGTGCAGCTGTATGTCAGAGAGTGTTTGGATTATAAACTATAAAGGGATACCATGTGATCGAAGTGGATTACCTGTTTATTTGCAATCGACGTACCAATTTCATATTATAGCTCTTGATCACATAACTTCGTTGCTACGATCCTGTAAACTATACACCGAGATGTTAATGGTCGTAGTAAACTTTCGGGGCATGTGATCAAAAGAGCAATCTTGTACATAATCGCACAGTCGCTCTCAAAGCTACGAGGTGTGCATTTGGACATTCTAGTTTGGGCGAGGTGATAAGTCCTCAGTCGCAAATCGGAATTTATGTCCGATTTCTTCCGAGATTCAAATTGAATTGCGAAAAATTGATCGAGTACCCATGCTATATAGTCCGCAAGCGAATGGTTTGTGCGAACGTATGGTGTAGACACTAATCGATTTATTACGATGTATATTTATAATCAAAATCAAAGAGAGTTAGGACAATTGCTTACTAAGGTTGACTTATGCGATCACATTGCTCAGGATCGTATTTTTAGCGACACACCTTTTACATGATTTACGGTTGGGACCAAGATAACCTTGAAAGCTGCCTAACAAATAGAAAGCACAAATCCTAATATCGTGACTCATGAAGGCAAAAATATGGCATACAACGCCAATATGATCGTGCACGTGCAATACTATGTAACCGATTGAAGGTTTGAGATCAAGATCAAGCCGATTGAGATAATGAAGATCTATGTGTAATGGATAATGATCGCGGGTCACGAGTTTGTGTAAACCTGGAAAGAGTCAAGGAAAAATAAGCCCGAAAGCTAGCCTATATGTGACATGTAAATTTCGAGTGGCCGTGAAGTGCGGTTATCATGCCGTAAGGCTTGAAATTATGGGGACGCCCTACCACTTAGAATAAATGATTCGTAATTCCAAGTTAAAACAAGTTTGCGCATTCCCAGAACGACATGCGAGTAGTCTGATGTTGGATGTGGCGGTTCGATTTAATTTTGGCGAAGCACGGTTGCCAGAGAATCGACGGTAGGGTGACCTGGACGCAGACAAATTTCACTTGGATAAGATTATTGATGTGTGGTCGGGACGGCAGACGAGAAATGCCCGGTTATAAGATTAGTACCTGATACAATGGAAGGAGTACAGCGACCCGAATAGGGTAGACGAAATTGAAATGATTTGTGGAGCTACGTTAAAAGCGTTTGATCGCAATCGGGTAAGCAGGATTTTTTTTGGGGTGACGCGATCGCACGAAGAATAATTCAGAAATTAACGGACATCGAAGTGCGTAAAAGGAAGTGTTCACACAGGATAGGTACATTTACGGAAAGAGTTATGGATTTAAGAAGGTTGTACATGGAGATGAAATGCAATTTATGTGAATTAAGAGCGACAATCGCAGACTAAAAGGTGTTATCACGATGAAAAGACGAATGAAAAGAAGAAAGAAAAACAAATTATAGGAGGGATCGAATGGAATTAAAATGAAAATTTTGTTGTGAGATCGCGTTATATGACACGACCAATGAAGTCACTTGTGGTCAAAGAACTTACCAGCTAAGAGTTTAAGAGATGACCCAGGGTGGGAGGAGTCTGAAGGATGAACCTGGTTCCTCCAAATATTGGCCCTACAATTAGTCGAAGAGACGGTTATTAAATTAGGCAAAATGTTTGTTCACGGACAGGCCGGGAAACCACACTCCAGCCTCATTAGGACGGGAGATAGTTAGACTTGTGGGTTCCAGTAAAATGTCCAGATGCAGACGTTCGTCAGATATTCCCTGAATGATCAGCCGCAGGACCCTCATCCAACGGGGCCCAGCAGGAGATCGTCCCTGCCTTCACGATCGCTCAAAATTGGCCAACTTAGGATCCGTCTAACGCTGCTCAGCGGATATCGACATCAAATATGCCGATGATCACGGAGCTTGCCTATGGAAATCCACAAAACCTTTAATGCGGCTCGATTAGGGTTTTTAACCCATCAACAAAATTGAAGGAGATTGTGCGTACGGTCCAATAATAAATGTCCCACGCTTGTTATTTGTAAAGTTGGCTAATCTTGTCGACGTGATTAACTAGGATGACTAAGAAGACTTCGACGAAGCTTGTCCAGCTGAACAGGTTAAATGCATACCTTAATCTTCGGAAATTGAATGTTAAACAAGTCTATTTCCAGATCCGACACGCTTACCAGGCTTGCTCTTTAAGAGAAAAGAGGGAAACATTACCGCCG